TTTTGAAATTGCTTGTTGAGTCAGTCCCAATGATCGTGCCAATTCTTCTTGACTTTGACACGAGTCTTCATTAAGTAATGCCTCCAATTCTGCATCTTCGAAAACCTTCTCTTCCTCCGCTATGCCGATCTTCGATGTGAAAACCGGCCTTCAAGCGTTCTTGAAGCGTTGAAACCACTCACGACACGTTCTTTCACTAATAGCGGCCTCACCATAAGTATTTGAAAACATTCGATGAGCCTCAGCCACATATTTCTTCATATTGAAGCAGAAAATTAAAACCTCCCGCAAATGACGAGAATTTAGCTCGTAAACTGACATTTTCAATCAAGAATAACTTTATGATACAGACACAAATCGACTAATGTTTCTATGGTTATGTTGACAGATGCCCAAGTTTATTGCATGACGTCTATGATCTATTTATTTCGACCATTACTTACCGCTAAAGCTATCTATAGGAAAATGGCGGAAGCAAAGTTGTACACCTAATATACACTTTGTGGAGTTATTAATATTATAATATACGGAAGACCGGAGCAGCATTAAACAATAGTTAAATTTTAATATTTTGTAGAATGATTCCATTTAACCCATGCAATGTTATACTGTTGCTATACGCAACATTCATTGTTCGTAACCTTCTACAAACTCCGGTAACTTCGGAAGAAATGGAAGTGAAGGAGAAGATTTTAAATATGCTCACAGACATGGAAAATAAAATGGACATTCTAATAGAAGAGGAGAAAACACTTGATTTCTATGATACAAATGAGATCCCACAGGCGGAAAGAGTTAATTTATTGGAGCATGAAGAAGATGAGGATTATCTTCCAGAAGAAGTTATTTGTACTGATATTGAAACAGAAATATTAAGTGACTATAAAAGGAAAACTGTGGAATTCTGGAAGAGCGGTAAAATAAGACCAAGAACGATTGAAGGAGTTAGACGAAGGTACAAAAAAGTTACATCAATTCGACAATTACGACAATAGGAGGACTACATCAATGCAGGCGGTAGCAGAAATGAAAAATTAAAAGCAATTTTTGAATATACACTAAACCGTTTTGCTGAAGCACTTGAAAAAGGAGTCATTATTCATGATATTAACATTGCTCGATGGGCTAATGGAGCACAAGAAGAGGAAAATATGCTTGGATTCATAGCATCACCTAGCTGGGTACAAAGATTCAAAAAAAAACATAATATTGTGTCTAGAAAAATAACCAAATTTGTCACGAAAAAATCCTTGTTATCCAAATCAGAATTAGAAAATAAATGCGATACATTTGTTACAAATGTCAAATATTATATTGATCGATACGGGGTGGAAAATATCTACAATTCAGATCAGAGTGGGTTCCAATTAGAACTTCACACCGGTCGTACCTTAGTACAAAAAGGTACAAAGAAAATAGAATCCGTAGTGCAACCTGTATCAGCAACTACGCATAGTTATACCATACAGCCAACTATTTCCGCTGATGATAGATTATTGTCGCCTCTGTTAATTATATTAAAAGAACCAACAGGGACGTTCGGTCCACGAGTACAGGAAAATTTATTCAATGCTCCTAATATTTTTGTAATGGCTTCCAAATCAGGTAAAATGACATCAGATTATATGAAAACCTGGTTGAGAAAAATATTTTTTTCGAATGTCGGGCCACAATCCGTATTATTATTAGATTCATGGAGTGGACATTGTCCCAATGTAATTCAGGAAACTAGATCGGATTTTGCATCAGATATTGTTTTCCTAACCATTCCGGCCGGTACAACGGGAAAAATACAACCATTAGATGTATATGACTTTCGATTATGGAAAAATTTTATTAAACTTTTTTTTCTGATATTGATTTTTTCTGATTTTTCTGATAATGCTATTAGACCTTGCAACTGATCTTCATGTTAGAAACAATATTTTAAAACTGCAGTCACTAACGCACTATCAATTCTCGTCACCCAGGTTTCACAATTTATTTAAATATGCGTGGTTTAAAAGTAGATATTTACAGAGTAGGCCAGGCGAATTCGAAACACCGATTGAGTTTTGTTTCCAAAATGATTCTAAAATAAAATGCGATATTTGTGGCGAAACTGCTATAATTATTTGCTCTTGGTACAAAAAATCACTTTGTATCACACATTTTTTCCATGATCACCACCTTTGCAACGAATATGTGCCATAAATGTAACATTTATTTTTCGTTTATATGCAAATACTGTATTGATTTGTTTATTACTATTGTGAAATATATATAATAACGTGTTATTCTTCTATAATTTATTGTATTGTTTCTCTCTATCCTATAAATTATTACTCCATAATTTTTGTTAAGCCCTTCGTTATGTTTCATTCAGCAATTAATAAAATATATTGTATTGTCACACTACACGCTTGCAGATGTTACATAACGTCGGCCTAATTAGAAAACTTCTTAATGCCAATTTTTGACAAAAATGAGGCTCATTTTATTCGATCAAAGTCGACGAGATAAATCGAACAAAATAAATATCTTAATTTTGTCAAAAATTGAAGTTAGGAGGTTTTCTAATTAGGCTGATGATAATGTGTTTCATTATTTCACGTGCATTGCATGAAATACTTTTTTAATTATTTTAATTATCCTTAATCGACATACCTTTCAGATTGTAGTGAACATAAATTTTACACATTAAATGGAGAAAATATACATTTGGAGCTTTTGTACAAATAGCGATGCTGCACACACATTTGCTACTGTTATACAGGGTGCACGATTTATCTGAAGACATTGAAATATCTCGAGAACTATGCATTGGATAAAAAAAAGTGGTTAATGAAAGTTGTTAGTCTCGAAGGGGGACATCCAATGATACCAAACTCGACCTCCCACCCAACCTCCTGGGGATGGGGGTTGGGGGCAACTTTGAAATCTTAAATGGAAACCCCCATTTTTTATTGTAGATACGGATTCTACGCCACAAAACACGTAAATTTGGTCCGAAACTTTTTTTTTTATTCGTGATAGATGGCGCTGTAATCGCAAAAAATTATATTTTCCGCAATTCTCCAGAAATGATCATTGGATTGAGAAATAAAAAATACCTGTTCAATATTTTTAAAGAACATAATAAAAGTTATTCCCCCCCCATCCTCTCGGGGTAGGGTGGGTGGTAACGTTCAAATCTCAAATGGGAACCCGACTCGAAGAGGGAACTGCTCGACGCGCCACTGTGGGTGTATGGCGAACTACGGCTTATTATAAGCCGTAGTTCGCCATACACCCATAGCCGTTACCACCTATCCTACCCCAAGGGGATGGGGGGGAATAACTGTTATTATGTTTTTTAAAAATATTTTTAAAAATATTGAACAGGTATTTTTTTATTTCTCAATCCAATGATCATTTCTGGAGAATTGCGGAAAATATAATTTTTTGCGATTACAGCGCCATCTATCACGAATCAAAAAAAAAGTTTCGGACAAAATTTACATATTTTGTGGCGTAGAATCAGTATCAGCAATAAAAAATTGGAGTTTCCATTTAAGATTTCAAAGTTGCCCCCAACCCCCACCCCCAGGGGGTGGGGTGGGAGGTCGAATTTTGTATCATTGGATGTCCCCCTTCGAGACTAACAACTTTCATTAACCACTTTTTTTATCCAATGCATAGTTCTCAAGATATTTCAATGTCTTCAGATAAATCGTGCACCCTGTATATGCAAATTATTCTATTGTTCACGTTTTCATCAAGCATTTTTATTTCGTGTAATATTATATATCATATCATTACGATGAATTGTAATATAAGAAAATTTGCACAAGCAGTCGTGAAGCATAGTGCAATTGTAGAGAAATATCACAGCGTATCTATCTACAGTATCTATCTACTCGGACAGAGCGGCACATATACCATGAAGTTTTCTCATTGCGTTTTGTCCAGAATATTACATACCATTTTCTAACATTATATATGGATGGATTTGGTATTTAATGCTCTTTTAAGTTTTTGTAAGGACAATTTTTGTCCTTACAAAAACTTAAAAATTTTGCCAGAGTAACGAGAGGGGGGGTAGTTCAACATTTGAAATTTTAAAAAACTGAATACATGGTTGCAAAGAGCATAAAATATTGCAAAACTTTTGTCTGAAACTTTTTTTCATATGACTCATAATTTAGAAAATATTTGATAAAAACGATAACGGCTATTTTTTTCAAGGGATGGTTTCAGCCCCTAAACATGCTCCGAAGCCGATATAAAAAAATATGTATCCCTTAGTTTTTTATGCTCTACAACATATTCGAAGCCCATTCAAATCGGTGAAAGACAGTTGTAACACTCTCCTTGTTAGAAGACGGGGCACTTTTGCATCGAATATTTCAGATAAGATAATAATACATGAAAGGCGGAAAGGCAAAAGGGAAAAATTTTTCTCACGTGCATTTTTAAGTCACTCAAGATTTTTCCGTAGTGACAAACATGGAATATAAAAAATTTGCTGAAATCTATATTCTTATTTATGCAATATATTAAAACTGCATACGCTTCTTTTTGCAAGAGAAAATATAAACAGTTAATCTGATCAAAATTACAATTATTTCCCAGCGACAATTATTTTTTTGTTGTTTCAGCAGAAAAGTAAATTCGGCAATTTATATATAAGATTATTATCAATAATACTAATTTGTAACAAAAATGTTTTTACCGACTGATAATTACATTACTATGCAATTATAGTTACAAATATTGAATACTTGCTTCCCAGCTAAATCTTTTTTCCAGTATATGCAAACATGATCAAAGTTTCTAGATCTAAAATATCTGACATTGAAGCAAATGTAAATTACAAATAAATACTTTCAAAACATTTTGAGGGTCATTAAACAATCTTTTTACGATATTAGTCTTTCCCTCTAAGTTAACGCTACTACTTATAAGTTGTTTCAAATACCGCAATATATAATTTCGTTAATCTTAAACGATATTAAGAACGCGCAACTGACGCAACTTACGGCAGCTGTACGGTCAAATACAGGAAATATTTGAGATAACCATTGGCGGCCAAATGGTTCGACAAGTCATGATTGCAGCTTTTCAGCTGATACAGGTTGTTCAAGCAGGAAACGAAGTCCCGATGAAATACGACCGGGTCTATGCGAGACAAGACCGCATTCTGTCGAAAAAAATATACGTCATAATAGTACTTCGAATATTCGTTTAAACACGTCTAACTCCACAGTTATATAATATTATATAGGGTGCCCCCTTTTTAATGTCCCACTCCAAATAACTCATCAGTATTGAAGTTTCAAGGAAAATGATCTAAATAAAAGTTGTACGGATTTAAGTGAGTTACCTTATGATAACTTTGACTTTGACTTTGACCTCTATTTTCAAGGTCATTTGAAAATCAACTTGCGTTTTTTAAATGGGAATCCTTATTTTTTATTACACTGTTTCTTCTGCTAGTTAATTTGAACAACTTCTGCCTAAAATATTTTTTTATTTGTCTAAGATTTTTTGAGATATTAGGAGTACAAATAAGTTTCCGCCGTTTTCTATAAAAAATTAGGAATTTATTGTGAAAGAACGGTACATTACGTTTTATTCAAAGTATTGTCCATTACTAGCCACTACTTTTTCCCATCTTTCTAGCAGTATTCGAATACCACGTCGGAAGAACTCTTCATCTTTTGAGGCTATCCACGAATCGACCCAATTTTTAGTATCTTCATATGATGTAAAGTGCTGCTTAGACAGGCTATGTGCCATCGACTGGAACAAGTAATAATCGGAAGGGGCAATGTCTGGTGAATACGGCGGGTGGGGTAGGACTTCCCAATTAAGTGTTTCCAAATAGGTTTTGACCGGTTTTGCAACATGTGGCCGAGCGTTGTCATGTAGCAGAATAATTTTGTCCTGTCTGGAGTAGTAATGGGCGCGTTTTTCCTTGAGAGCTCGGCTCAATATCATTAATTGTGTTCAGTAGAGAGCTCCAGTAATGGTTTCGCTCGGTTTTAGCAACTCATAATATACGACACCAAGCTGATCCCACCAAATACACAGCATGAGTTTTTTTCCATGAATATTCGGTTTGGCTGTCGATGTTGAAGCATGGCCAGGTGCTCCCCATGATTTTCTCTTCTTTGGGTTATCGTAGTGGATCCATTTTTCATCACCAGTGACTATACGATGCAAGAAACCTTTTCTTTTATGCCTAGCAAGCAGCATTTCACACGTGCAAAATCGGCGTTCAACGTCTCTCGGCTTCAGTTCATACGGAACACAATTTCCTTGTTTTTGAATCATTTCCAACGATTTTAAACGATGTAAAATTGCTTGTTGAGTCACTTCTAATGTAAGTGCAAGTTCTTCTTACGTTTGGCACGAATCTTCCTCCAATAATGCTTCCAATTCCGTATCTTCGTACATATTCAGCCTTCCACTACGTTCTTTGTCTTCCACGTCAAACTCACCGTTTTTAAACTTTTGAAACCACTCACAACAATTTCTCTCACTTAAAGCAGTCTCATCATATGCTTCTATAAGCAATCGATGCGTCTCAGTTGCAGATTTCTCCAAATTAAAGAAGTAAATCAAAAGTTCCCGCAAATGACGCTTATTCGGCACAAAACTTGACATTTTCGCACAAAAAATATTATGTGATGCTGATACGGAGTCACTAATACTTCAAGGTTATGTTGTTACCAGATGTCCAAACTTACGATATTACGTTTTACATCTGACAATTTCAACATAACCTTCTGGTGGGGCCATCTTTTATCAAACGGCGGAAACTTATTGGTACTCCTAATATTTAAGGAAAACTTGATAACTTTTTCAATATTTAACTTACGATATTTCGCTAATTATTTGTCGGAAAAAAAGTGGTACTAGACTTTCTTGCTCTATTTAGTCTCAAGAATATATTGTTACAATAGCGCCCTGATTTTTATTAATCAAATGATTTGGAAATTTCCAAAAATTAGTAAGTTTTGTTAATCTGATGATTTGGAAATTTCCAAAAATCAGTAAGTTAACAAAAGTCAAGGCGCTATTGTAACAATATATTCTTGAGGCTAAATAAAGCAAGAAAGTCTAGTACCACTTTTTCTTCCGACAAATAGTTAGCGAGATATCGTAAATTAACTATTAAAAAAGTTATCAAGTTTTCCTCAAATATCTCAAAAAATATTAGACAAATAAAAAAATATTTTAGACAAAAGTTGTTCAAATTAACTAGTAGAAAAAACAGTGTAATAAAAAATAAGGGTTTCCTTTTAAAAAACGCAAATTGACTTTCAAATGACCTTGAAAATAGAGGTTAAGTTCAAAGTCAAGGTCATCATAAGATAACTCACTTAAATCCCTACAACTTTTATTCAGATCATTTTCTTTGAAACTTTAATACTGAAGAGTTAGTTGAGGTAGGACATTAAAATGGGACACTCTGTATATAAGGTGTCTTAAAAATACTGGAACCCTCGGATAACTTTGCAGGGTCAAACTTTTATGAAAAACTTTAAATACAAATGTTGTAGAAAATCGAGTAATGGACTTGATGGTGACCTTGAATTTGACCTCGGCCATGACTTTGAAGGTCATTTGGAGGTCAACTTGCGTTTTTTAAATGGGAATACTTACTTTTTATTATACTATTTTTTTACCAATTAATTTGAACAATTTTTGTCTAAAACATTTTTTCATTTGCCTAATATTTTTTTAAATATTTGAGGAAAACTTGATAACTTTTTCAATACTCAACTTACGATATCTCGTTAACTATTTGTCGGAAGAAAAAGTGATACTAGATTTTCTTGCTTTATTTAGTCTCAAGAATACATTGTTGAATATATTGTTACAATAGCGCCCTGACTTTTGTTAACTTACTAACTTCTGGAAATTTCAAAATCACCAAATGGACAAAAATCAGGGCACTAATGTAACAATATATTCTTGAGACTAAATAAAGCAAAAAAGTTTAGCACCACTTTTTCTTCCGACAAATAGTTAGCGAGATATCATAAGTTAAATATTGAAAAAGTTATCAAGTTTTCCTCAAATATCTCAAGAAATATTAGGCGAATCAAAAAATGTTTTAGACAAGAGTTGTTCAAATTAATTGGTAAAAAAAAAACAATGTAATAAAAAATAAGGGTTCCCATTTAAAAAACGCAAATTGATCTCAAAATGACCTTCAAAATCATGGCTGAGATCAAATTCAAGGTCACCATCAAGTCCGTTACTCGATTTTCTATAACTTTTGTATTAAAATTTTTCATGAAAACTTGATCCTGCAAAGTTATCCGGCGGTTCCGGTATTTTTAAGACATCCTGTATGCATTTCCGTTCAACGTTAAAACTAACGAAAAAGTCAAACTGATTTCTTAAATAAATTACTCGAATTACGCATAACGATGCATTTTATATTTTTAATGAAAGTTGAATAAAAGTAGTGAGGAAACAAATAAATACTGTTGCCATTGTATAACGTATTCTTTTTCAAAATCCTGCCATTTCGATTGCGTTTCAGAAAAAAAGTATTAATAATTGACTTCATTAATAATTAATAATTAATAATTAACTCTTTCTAACAACTTTCCAAACGTACTTTCACGTAGGGTATAATTATTGTCATCGTCACATGGTAAATGGAGTCTGATAACTCGGACATCTTCTGGCGAACCACAAGGTTATCATCAATCTGATCATCCCGCGCAAGATTGGCACAGCAGAACCTATTAAACAGAAGTGCTCAAGTTAAACAAGAATTCGGAATATTGACGCTGAGCGAGTAGGGTACAAGTCCAATGTTTAAAAATAGGTTGATATATCTCTACCGGGAGCCGCCGGCACAAGTGCCACATAGTATCACTGCAGCGAGCAAAATCATGTTGTCGTCCTCGCCATATTTCACAATTTCCGTCATTGACTTTAGGGCGTCTCGACATAGGTCAATGACCATGTTTTCGTCGGTGAACTCATCGAAAGCCGTGCGCTGCAGTACAACGTTTAGTATTGTCACGACCGTAAACTTCAACTTGTCTCGCTGCAAGTCGCTCATATCTAGGTTTTTCACAAGCAGCAAGATTTGTTGCGAAACGCACACGTCGTCGAAATCTACAGCCAATTCCGACGATCTGCAAAGTACAAATATGAAATGAAGCATAGACAACCGTTGTCTTTATCTCGAAACGGAAAAGACGATAATGTTTGTTCCTAAAGTCTTCGATTATAAAAGTTTTACTATCTCAAATAAACATCACAATACAGATATTTCAGACATTTCAAAATTATGTATACTGTGTTAGCAACCTGTTATATTGTATTAGTCAATCAGTATATATCTTAATAATTGAAAAATAAAATATATAATGTTGAAAACTTGGACAATTTTTAATCCTCGAAATATCCACTAGCTTTTAATAACGAATTGCCAAAATATATAATACTATGTTAAATGTTACAAATTCTCAAATGAATATGATTATTGGGCGAAATTATTGACATAAGAATGAAGAGTGATAATAACTAATATCTTAACAATAAACGAGGATCATAAAGAGATGTCTACGTACCTAACGAGCACGTTACAAATGCCTTGTACGAGCTTTTCGAACAACGTTAAGTCTTTGAGTGACTTATTTACACAATAAGTGAGTCGTAACATCGATTCTACAGCGTTCATGGCGGCATGATTCTCATAAAATTTCTTGTGCGTACTTGCGAGCTCGAAGCATTCGAGAACGACTCTGCGAAAAAGAAAGCCGCAAAGACGTTTTCCTCCCTCAACAAATAAAGTTGAATGTAACATACTGTGTAATGTTTATATCGGAATACAAAAAGATGGCATACTTGACGAAATTGTCATCCAACGTTTGCATAACGTCGCACATAACGGATATTACGTCGAAATTAACGAGTTTCTCCACGATAATGTCCTGAATAGATTCGGTCGTATTTTTCAACAAAGATAATATGAACTCTATCGTCATCTAGTATTATTGCAACAAATAACAATTAATAAAATTAAAATTATGAAATAATATTGGGAGTAATATTGAAACTTTCATATATTATTTAACTCTCATAATTTTATAGTATTTTTATGTTGCATTATTTTCAGTACTAAATCTGATTAATTTTCTTTTTGAAGCCACTGCTATACATTTTTTCGTAATGGACTGCTAACTGGTTTTACGTATTTGCTGCTACGAAGATAATAGTACTAATAGTATTATTGGCTGTATTGTCGGCTTGGCTTCACACGATACAAGTTTCTATACCAACTAAAATTCAACTATGCTTAATAAATTGAATTAGCATTGAGTAAATAATATGAAGCAAGCCAATACATCATCAAAAAAATATACTTTCATTATTTTTAATTATCGAATATCAGTATTATACTGTAGAAAAAAAACTATTAATTATATGTTTAAATAAATCTGTGATTTTAGAAAACTCAGCACGACTATAATTTTGCAACCTTTTAAAATATTATAGATTAAAGAAAAACGTAGAAATTAACTATAATTTAGTTATAAATATTTTGTAACATAATCCTGCTATTGTATGTAATTATATTTTTTGTTTCTTTTCATTCGGAAAAATAATTTTAAAGTAAAAAATATATTTATTACCAAAGATAATTTGAGCCAATGTTTTAATTTAGAGCTCGACAAAATCTACACATTTCGTCAATTTTCAGCTCGCTCCGCCTAATATTATTTCTCTTATATTTTCCTCCGCGCGCAGTCTGAGTTGCGTGAAGCTCAGTAGCGTACGAAGCGTGAATTTGTTTCCAATAGTTTTGGAAAAATTATTAAAAATAAGTTCATGCGTCGTACACGTTAAAACTCCATTGGTATATACATATTCAGTAAGATGTAACAGTAAGGTTTTGATCAATCATGATGGTCTTCAAGGCCATCACACACAAACGAACTTAAGCAGTAAGACATAAGCAGTAAGCAAATCGACCAATCACAATCGAAATTTAAGGACGCCATTTTAAAACTTACGAAATTGATTGTAATTGATCAGTTTCTTTACTGCTTACGTCTTACTGCTTATGTTCATTTGTGTGTGATAGCCTTTACTGAGACTCACGCGACTCATGGGCCGCGCGCGGAGGAAAACATAAAAAGAATAGCACTAAACGAAGCAAACTAAAAATCGCCGAAGTATGCAAACTTTGCCGAGCTCTGTTCTAACTGGCTTTGATAATAAGTCATCATAGCACCAGATCAATTACGAAAATAAAGTAGAGTGGTCATATAATACTAGATCAATTACGAAAATAAAGTAGAATGGTCGTATAAACATAATTTCCAGCAAAATGATCAATAAGATAGCCAATACAAAAGCACGCGAACAATTCAATTGAAAAAGAAAACGTATTGTATATCAGTGGCTACGTTCAGCAAAGAAAGCTGCTTTGCAACTGTTATAAAATTCATGAATTTGATCGGTGCATGCTCTTGGATTTAACCAAATTTAAGAGCATACGCCAATTACATTCACGAATTTTACAACAATTGCAAAGCATTTTTCTGCTGAACGCAATCAATAATTTTAAATTTTTCTTAAAAATCGACCGCATCTGCGACTACAAAAATACACAACCGAAAATGCCACACATATTAATATATTCGATAGATAAATCAATCCGCATAACTCCGAACAATAATTATTCTCAAACATTAAGACTTCTATTCCTGGCCGTTAAAATTCGTCTTATGAAAGATACTTTGATCTGAATTTCAAGTCGAATATGAATGTTTCAGTCATACCGCAATCACAAGATACAACACGTCTTACATATATTGTACGATCTAACCAAAAAACTTTGATTCAATTCTAAAGTTCAAGTTTCACATAAGACAACTTTCAAGAAGCGACCAATAAACATAGGCTTGAACAACGATCATATAATGATGCCAAATCATGAAACAAAAGATAAAAGCATGACGCTTGTAGAAATCTCCTCGCTTGAAACAAAACACTGAGACGTCATAAATAATTGCTGGTGTTGTTCACGAGTATGAAAATGGAAGATCGCGATCATCCTTCTTGGCATTCAAACGATCGAGGCACATTCTTAAATTCAATATACCAGAAAAACATCGTACAGCAGCTATTTTTGACAATGCAAGGCGCAATAATGCGCGAACAGGCAGACGCAAATACGAGTTAACCGCACTCACCTGTGCGCTCCCCGTACTCGACAGTAACCTCTGCTTCAAGTGTGGCAGTAGGCTGTTCACATCATTTGAACATAACTCGAACGATGGTTCCATTGCGATTAACGAAAATATTTCACACAGCACGAACAATGACCGTTTCGCGCATATGATCCAAATGATTGTGGATAAAGATATGTATATATTTAGCGAACAAATAATGATAATAAACAGTCAATTCAGTAAATGTTTACGTCACAACAAACACGAATGAACTGAACGTTCGTCAGCATTCAATTCGTTTTCGGTCTGCTCATGAAAAGATATATCAAAAACTAAATCTTCACTTCGAGGAAGTGTTGATTCGATCACAGCACGATTGGACATAAAGTAGATGATTGGTTGGATCTAGTAATTCACTAGATAAAGCATTGCACTAATTGGTTGTATCTAATCGTGCTGTATCGAATTAGGACTCTTTCTACACTTCGATATTTGTTCGTTTGCTCAGTGAATACCTACCAGCAGAGAGAGAACTGAGAACGGCCACTAGACCGGATTTCAAGGGATACTTTCTCTCAATGTACCCCTTAAGGAAGTGTATGTAAATTATATCCTGATTTTATCCCCGATGATAACGGCAGAACATGTATGATTCTCGGTTACTCTACTTCCATATAAAGATAATAAAGTCAGCGGCACACGGTGCTTGTTTTCATGCTGGATTACTTGCTGGATGAAAATACTGCGTTCTGATTGGTGCATTTCCATCCATCTTCGGAAATGCACCAAACAGAACGCAGTATTTTCATTCAGCAAACAATCTAGCACGAAAACAAGCACTGTATGCCGCTGACTTTATTTAGAAACAGACAAACGCCCAAGCGCTCGTCTTTATCTCACTACTAATAAGCGGACCGTGTAACCAACATGAAGCGAATCAGCGGCGATCTTATCGTTAAGCAAACATTCTTGTCCCGCCTTTTCTCTTCTTTTACATAATGCACTATTCGCAATTCGGAAAAAGATATTTCGTGATCGTGCAGATGACTTCTAGTCATGACACTATAATGCTTACAAGTGGTCATTTTTTATAATTTTTATAGTCTATTATGAACATATACACACATATGTATTGTAAATGTGTATAAATATGTAATAATTATTAAATTTTAATTAATATTAATATTAATTACTTTTATTAATGTTGATAATTTAAATATTATCTGTAAGGCACTTGAGAGACTTATTATCTTACTGTCTTCTTGCAAGATAATTAACATATCTATCCCAACAAATACAGAATAACTGTATAACGTAGAAATAACATTTAATATAACGCATGTTACACTTTATTAATGTAGAAGTTATGTAACTTTCTTTTATTTATGCAATATAATATTAAAATAAAATTGTTATATTGTCAGTTATTTACTGGTTACAAGAAAGGAACAGCAATATAATTTAAATGTTATGTTTTATATAGCAAATATTATATCAAAGTAACTATCATATTACTTAACATTTTTTATATACAATATATAAATATTACAAAGGAGTTATATTTCATAACATATTTATTAAAGAGTAAATATTTAATGTTGAATTACGTGGGATATGATAGCTATTATGGATACATTTGAGTCCGCATTCTTAACTTCATTCGAATCTTAAAGAGAAAGAAAAAGAGTTATACCGTTGATACTTGATGAAATAAAAAAGAAAAGAGTTAATATAAAAGCAATGTCAAATGTCCAATAAAAGGGGGACACCTGTAGTCTGTTCATTTTAGCTGTACTACTGAACTAGTATAATAGAATAGAGTGAGACAAATGTATGGTCTGTTCTTTTTAGCTGCATTACTGAACTGGTGCAACAAGTTAAAGTGAGAAAAAATATAGTTGTCTCATTCTAACTTATTGCACTAGTTCCGCAGTGCAGCTAAAAAGAACAGACCAATATTTTTCTCATTTTAATCTACTGCACTAATTCCGTAGTGCAACTAAGAAGAACAGACCACTGCAGAATGTAACTTATTCCAGAGGTAATGTGATGCATAATTGTTTTACCCCGTCTTCTTGCTGTTTCCTATAATTTATATAATTAATATACTTAAGTATGCCATATATGGTATATCTCTTCAACTTGTTCGCTTCAGCAATATATTATACAAATATGTCATATACCTTTCTAACTTGTCTGCTATAAGATGTTAAACAAATATAATAAATATTTTATATCTGTTTATATATAGGACGGGATAAAACAACTACACATCTTATTGCATCTGAAATAAGTTACATTCTATTTGAACACTGCAGTAGTCTTTCCTTTTTAACTGTACTACGGAATATATCAACATATTAACAGCATATTATTATTAAGTGAGTATTTATAAAAATGAAAAGTAGTCTTATTCTACAGATAAGTAATATATTTTTCATAAATATTTTTGGGTAATTATCATAATCTTTTTTATATCTGTAAAAAATCTGTCATTAAATTATTTATAAAATATTTAACATTTATATTTTTGTTTCTAAAATATTTTGTAAATATTGTGTGCTATCTAGGATATGTATTTTGCATGCACAAAATTATTTTTATCATAATTTTATACATGCGAAATATGTGTACAGTCATTTGCAAAACAGCTTTTCGTTTTTCGAACGGATGTCTAATCGGCAATAAATGCACAATCTACATTTATTGTTATCATGTTTTTACTAATATCATGTATTATTTTTTTTTCAAGGAGAACCAACATCGCGATATTCAGCGTTAACAAAGGCAGACTATAATAACATTGTGTCGGAATGGTTCCGTTTTGCAAAGCAACGACATAACAGAGAAAAAGCCGAAGAAAATGCAGGAGTAAATAATACCAAATAAGGAGAAAGTTTTTAACCTCTTACACTAGAAATTAACTGAGCAATGTTCATTAATTTTCAGCGCAAGAGGTTAAAAAACTTTAGGACGTACCCGTCCTAAAGGGAAACTGGTAAAAGAAAAGAAGTACCTGACCTGACGGTGGTGGTTGTTGTTTGAAAAGAATGATTATGGTAGAAAGTACCAACCTTATAAAGCTTAAGTTTGACAACGCTACGTTATATAGTATTTGTTTGGCAGCCATCAATAGTGAACGCTCTCAATGAATTTGTAAACATGAAAAAAATTGGTCATCGTTATGTGATATAATACTTTCATTTGAAAGACCTCAGTCCAACCAATATCAAAGCGGAGCTAGATTCTACTCTGGGGGAGTCTGCTACTTCGTTTACAACAATAAAATATTGGATGGCAGAGTTTAAACAAGGCCGTACGAGCAGCCAAGACGAACATCGCAGTGGTCGACCAAATGAGGTGACCACGCCAGAAATGGTGAAGAAAATCCACGAAATGATATTGGATGACTGTCGACTGAAAGTGCGCGAGTTAGCAGACATGGTAGGCATTTCAAAAAGTGCTGTACATTGCATATTGACTGAAAATTTGGATATGAGAAAGCTGTGTGCAAGATGGGTGCCGCGATTGGAACAAAAACAGCTTCGTGAGGATGTTTCAATCGAGTGTTTGGCGAAGTTTCGTAGCAATAAAGCCGAGTTTTTGCATCGATTCATAACCATGGATGAAACATGGGTCCATCACTTCACACCTGAGACGAAGGAACAGTCAAAACAATGGACTGAAAGGGGAGAATCGGCTCCAAAGAGGGCGAAGACAGTTCCATCTGCAGGCAAGGTCATGACGTCAGTTTTTTGGGATGCGCATGGGATAATTTTTATTGATTATTTTCAGAAAGGAAAAACAATCAGCGGCGAGTATTATGCGAATTTATTGCAGCGTTTGAATGATGAAATCAAGAAAAAACAGCCGCATTTGGCGAAAAAGAAAGTTTTATTTCATCAAGACAATGCACCAATTCACACATCCGTTATTGCGATGGCCAAAATCAATGAGTTAAAGTTCGAATTGCTTCCTCACGCACCCTATTCGCCAGATTTAGCCTCCTCGGATTATTTCCTGTTCCCAAACTTGAAAAATAGCTCGGTGGTAAAAAATTTGCCAACAATGAAGAGGTGGAGTCTGCGATTGATGGCTATTTTGAGGAGCTCGACGATTCCCACTATAAACAGGGTATCGAAGCCATTGAACATCGTTGGGAAAAGTGTATTGAGCTAAAAGGAGAAATAAAGATATTCTTTCCCAAATTTTTTGTGTTTTCTTTGTTAGATCAAGTACTTCTGGAACTACCCTCGTAGCTATTAAAAATTACATTCAGTATGGCGTGAGGCTCAATACAACCTCAAAAATTATTCAGTTCAGTATAGTGAAAAATGGAAGCAGATAAGGTATATATCCGACAGTGCATTCTTTACGAATTCCAACAAGGAAAAAATGCTGCGAATTGGTTTGATCCTTTCTTGGTGACGGTGTTGTATCGTACGTTGTGTATGCATTTTGATTTAGACGGTTTAAAAGTAGCCATTTCAGTCAAGGAGATGGCAAGACATATAAAATATTATAGATAACTGAATTAGTCATATTTCATTCGAATGGGGTTGAGTAATAAAAGGTTGAGTAATAAAAACCCTAAAAGGGTTTGCGTGCATGGACCTTCGTTTGTGAGAAATTTGCAATTAAAAAACCGCTACATGTTAAGTGTAGTAACTTGGAATCAATAAGCGCGAAGCGCGGTAGTTGCGGAAGCTAAGGTGCGTGCTAATATTTTATCGTCTACGTCCGAGGAATGTTCGAGTCCTCGCAATGCCAACTTTTTTTGTTTTATAATATTATATATTACTATATTTTATAACATTTCTATAATATTTTTAATATTTTTATTATTTTTTATAGGACAAAAATATAATGCACACATATACAGTAATATCTGTCTTATTATATAAAATATAACAAGAATTGTAACGGCCAAACTCCGCGGTTCGGTCGTCGCTACGCGTTTTATAAGGCTCATCGGAGTCCGGGTTCAGTGAGGAGAAAAGCAGCGAAACGTTTGATAATAATAAATATAAATATGTTAGTTTCATTTGATATTCAAAGATGTACAAGAGTTCGGCTCCGAAGTCATGTCGCGGATTGCGTTTAATAGGTACGGTACGGTGCGGTGCGATGCGCAGTACACGCGGGTTTACGGACGGATAGGCCGCGCGATAGGCAGGGCCTATTGCGCGACGCGTGTAGACGGCAAAGACGGTAACGGCGCGGTGATTAGTCTCGCCTCGCAACGCTGGG